GGTGTGAGCTCGCGGCTCTCCAGCGCCCCGCCCGCGCCCCGGGCCGCCTAAACGGCGGGTTGGAGGCGCAGCGCTCGCCCGCGGGGGAGCTCGGTCCTCGCCTGGGCCTGCCTTCTGATGTTTGCAGCCACCGGGAAACCACAGTGGAGACTTCCAGCCGGGACTCCCGCCCTCCCCGGGCCTCGCTCCCGACACGTTCCGTGAAATGACCCGCTGGCCATTAGATTCCTCGTCCTGGGCGCAGGGACAGAAAAAAGCCCCGGAAGGCTCTGCAAAGCAGCGTGAACAGAAAAAACGCCTAAGGTGGACTTTGAGCCGTTACCTTTTTTCTATGAATTCTTTTTTTTAAAAATTAAACAGCCTGGGGCCGGGCGTGGTGGCGCAAGCCTGTAATACCAGCACTTGGGAGGCTGAGGCAGGAGGATCGTCGCGAGTTCGAGATCAGCCTGAGCTACGAAGTGAGCTCAAGGCCAGCCTGAACTGAACTGCATAGCGAGACCTTGCCTCAAAAAAAAAAAAAAAAAAAAAAAAAAGTGATTTTATGTTGATAAAATTTGTATATGAGTATCAACATAATGATAAAGTTAATAAGGTATTTTGCGAATTATGGATTTGAAGTCACATTAAGCCCTTTCCATTTTGATAGCGAGAAAAATTAAATTTTAAACAAACTAAAGACACACCGTGTAACAGTAGCCCACAAGATCAAAGAGCAAATGAGCCAACCATCATTAATTTATTCCGCACATCGCACCAAGCTGTTCCGGAAGCAGGACATTTCACGGACTGACCACTGAACTTGCTGTGAACGTCAGCCTGACCCTATCTCGAAAGCCCTTCTGAGCATGCACCCACTTCGCCAACTGCAAACTCTTGGGACCCCCGAAGCTGAAGGACTGGCAGCGCCCCTTCCTTGCAGCTAGAGACACCGGGAAGGCAGGAGGTGCAAAGGCACCGTTTAGGGTCTACCCGAGGGCTATGCACTCTCTTGAACTGACAGAGACTTTCCTCATCCACCGCAGTTAGGCTGAGAAGCAGAAAGTTAGACCGGTTATCTGTAAAAAGCAAAAAGCTTCACGATGGGCGCCAAAGTAACTTAATCTCCTTGCTCCAGCAGCGCTTTCCCACTTTATCAGATCAGCAGACTCAAAACTCGGTCTCTCCTTGCTTTCTCTAATTCATCCTTTTTCCTACGAGCCTTGAGACTTGACCTGCGCAGCGCTGACCCCCAGAGTTGGCCCCGCAGCCCCCGGCGCGCCCCTTCAGGCTTCGCCCCGGGGTCCGCCAGCGCGGGGACCCCAGCTGCGCCCCCGTTTCC